CACTTGAATACAATAGCTCTAGTAACTTGTGCATGTATTTCTCCATATGTGTTTTTTTTATTTATTTTTTTAATTATTTTTTTTAATATCAACGCATGCATAGGCACAACCACAGCACAGATGTCGATAACATCAACAGTTATGGGGGCTGACCTAACTTCATGTCACATTTTCCACTTGCAAAACACTGGGCTATGAAAGGGTCGGGAAGTTCCAGCAACACAAACCTGAATGAGGATGTGCTGTAGGATGCACCACCCACCTGCATGCTGAGAATAATGCTGCCAAAAGTACTGCTGAAGGCATGGACAAGAATTGGGATCTGAAATTGGACTGGAAGCCACCAGAGTGAATTATTCTGAAGCCCTAAGTGACACAGAGCTATGAGCGTTAAGCTAATTCATGAGAGGGGGAGTTTATGACAGCAGACAAGCCTGTATAGTGAAGAATGAAACAAATAAAAGCAGAAGCATCCTCTTTGGCTTATGTGGTGGCACCAGAAGATTGCAGGCAGTGATAAACGTTGCTGCGACACTGGTGTGATGACTTTGTACGCTTTGTTTTACCATTTATTTGTTCCACTCCAGTAATAAACCACAGGAAAAAAAAAAAAAAAAAGAAAAACTATTGAGATAAATATTTTTAACCTTCTCCTTTGCTGTGTGATAATAGTATGAACTTCATTTTTGATAGTGCTGGCCTAAGTGCCCTACAAACACAGGAGAGGCAGCAAAGTTTTCCCTTCCTGTAAATCAAGGGCCTAAAAAGCTGCTGAGTGAAGAGCCTAAGGACTCACTATGCAGCTCCTTGTGGAGCAGTGGACTCCCAGATGAGTTTGGGACAGTTCTTGCAGGATGCTCATAGCTCTCCATGGAGAACAGAGCTGTAGCTTTGAAGGATATCATCCTTTCCAAGCTGAGGTGAAGGAGGAGCGAACAATTGAAGCAGAGAGTCTTGATAATCCTGTGGCTCTACCCATGCTCGGAACTGCCTAAACCATGATCAGTGAAGCTAGACCAAAGATCTACTAATAGGTGAGGAGGGTCCACCTGGGATTTTGTTTCTTCTACATGTCAGTTTCTGCTGCTATTTGTATTCTTTTTAAAGTGGGGATTATTTGAAGTTTGCAGCTTTATAAGAAGCTCAGGATACATTGGGTCACATTTGGCTGTGTAGGGGAAGGCCAATTCCTGAGGCTGGGATGAGAGAGAAACTTTCGTCCAAGGAATCTGAGATATGTGCCTACCCTTATTTGGAGAGTTTGAGGAGCTGTGTCCACCTATGAATCATCTATTTTCCATTCACTACTGAATTTTTAGGAGTCTGTTTCTTGGATTATCCCACAGTTCTGAAAGTGGTAACTGTACTTGGGTTGTTGGTAAATTGGTTCTTCATGGGAAATGTGTGAAGTGGTGCAGTAAGTCCACAAGAGGCAGAAATTAAAGTAGCCAAAGTAATGGGCACCTTTGTTGAAGATAAATTTTGTTGCAGAAGCATTAGGATCAAATGAGAAGCCTCTGAATAATGGGTTAATGACCCAAAATTGGTAAGGGAGATTTAATAGGGCCAAGAACAGAAATTGCTGGGCTTGACTGTGTTGGTCCAGTGAGTGTAGATTAGCTGTAGTTAAAATATAAATTAATTTTCATAGTCTCTGGAAATGGCAATGTAATTGCCTCTGGACATTTATCTTGGAAGTTTCGGGTTTTAAAGGTTTTATTATCAGCAGCGTTTGTCCCACTGTATGTTTGCTGACATCAGTGGGAACCACAGGTGGTTTGTACCTTGGAAAATCAAGATGTTACATTCACGGGCTGTTTCTATATTTTCCTCTTCAAGACAAACATCTCTTTTCCTGCAAGGAAGAGAACAGGCTTACCAGAGGCTATTCTTACTGCTATTCATCCTTTGGTCCTACTCCCGTTATGGGGGTTACGTGCTTTCTGAACAGGTTGGCTGCAAGGCAGCTATGGATGTGAGGTGTACAATTTAGCTCAGGTAATAACTTCACAGGCTATTTTCTAGATTGGCCAGTGTTAAGAAGGTAAATATTTCTGAAAGGAGAGGCAATTCACACCTGTTTTGTTGAATTACAGCTACTAAAAACAAAGAAGAAAGCAAACAAACAAGCAATACACTCATCTGCTGTTCTGCTTGTTTTTCACCCTGCTAGGGAAAAAAACATGTTGTGGTAATGTTAGTATTAGCATTATTCTAATCATTAATGTTTTGACAAATTGAACACATAGACACAGCAAACATCTACTCTGCTGAGGAGGAATGTTTAAGCCTATTTACCTTCAGATATAAGTTGCCAGAAAACAGTAATTTTTTTTTTCAGTAGAAACACTTAATAACTCTTTTGACAGCTCCTTCTATTAAGCAATTCTCTCCCTTTCAGGAAAACATCTACCCTCTATTCCCCAGTTTATAGAGAAAGTTTATACAGTTTTGCTTATTTGGAACTGAATGAGGCTGGCTCATGAACTGGGTGGGCTGAATTTTGTAGCTGGCAACCATCTATGACTTTCACTTGCCAGCAAGTATGAGACAAATGAGTTTGAGCAGAAGGTGAAGTTCCTCCATTCTCTAACCGTACTAACAAACTTTTGCTGTGCTAGGAGAGGGCTTCATATGGGTGCATTTTCAGTGTTAGGTAATCCTTCAGAGAATAAAAACACTAGAAGGCTATGAGGTCAAACCAGAGGTTCATCTACCCGGTGCCACTTGCAGTGGCCAGCAGCAGGTAGTTATGCAGTGCAGCTAAGGACAGAGAAAGGATGCAACCTCCCCTAACTTGTAAATACATCTCAGTTTCTGAGAATGAAGAGCTCTTTCCACTCCTCTTCACATACCCCCCACTATCAGAAGAAGCTGAGGGATGAAAGGATTGAGCACAGCCCTGCCTAAAAGGACCTGGGGATGCAGGTGGATGGGAAGCTGGAGGTGAACCAGTAATGGCCCTTGCAACTCAGAAAGCCAACTGCGCTCTACCAGAAGAAGTGTGGCCAGCAGGTCAGTGGAGGTGGACCTGCCCCTGCCCTTCTACCCTGCTCAGGTGAGACCTCACCTGGAGTGATGCATCCAGATGTGGAGTCTTCAACACAGGAGCGACATAGACCTGTTGGAGTATGTCCAGAGGAGGGCCACAAAAAGGATCCAAGGAACACTTCCCCTGTAAGGACAGGCTGGGACTGTTCAGCTTGGAGAAGAAAAGGTTCTGGGGAGACCTGAGAGCAACTTTTCATATCTGAAGGGATTCTGTAAGAAGGAAGAGTACAGACTCTTTAGCAAGGTCTGTGGTGATAGAACAAGATAAGATGGTTTCAAACTAAAAGAAAGGAGGTTTAGACTGGACATAAGGAAGAAGTTTTTTACGTTAAGAGTGATGAGGCACTGTAACAGGCTGCCCAGAGAGGTGGTGGACGCCTCGTCCCAAGGTCAGGCTGGATGGGCACTTGATGTTGCTGTATGTAATCATTGCAGGGATGTTGGACTAGATGACTTTTAGAGGTCCCATCCAACTCAAACAATTCTAAAATTCTATGGGATTTGTCTTCTTTCAGGAGCATTCGAAGGTTTCCTGTATTTTATGACTTCATTTTAATCTGAGGAATTTGAAGGATGCGTCATAGCCTGGGAGCAGCTGGAGACACCAGCTGAACGGAGTCTGTCCCCTGAGGGGGCTGCAGACCACTCTTAGACTTTCTGCAAAACTTCCTATGCAAAAAATAGGCTGCATGAAAATAGCCTGTGGCTAAGATACGTAGAAAATGCAGACATACGGACACCACTGCTGCTTCCTCTCCCCAGGTAACTGCTACAGCTGCAATGTCTGAGGGCTGCTGTGAAAACTTGAAGGAGAAAAGGGAGACTCTGAGACTGCTATTTGAACTGCTCTGCTTTTATTGTAGTGTGTTATCAGGAGATATGTCATCTTACAGAGGTACTGAGGCCGCACAGGACAGCTAAGTGTGGAGGCTGACCTGGGGCTCTCTGTGTACCTCCCACGTCAGACAGCGTTGGCTGGCTTCTGCCTTTTGACTCATTGTGGTGCAGCTCGTAGCTACACGCAACTGGTTCCTCTTTGTACCATCCCTTTCTCCCCCCCCTTGCCCAGAGGAAGTAACAGGCTTCTGAAGATCTTCACTACACTTTAAAATGTGATTCCACTGCAAAGCAGCGTCATATTTTCCTGTTAATCATGGCAATGGCCACGTGACATTTACAAAGGTTTGTGGTGACGACTGACGCATTGCTCGCATCGATTCTTTATGAGCAGCACCTTTTCTTTCTTCGCTTTGTGTTAAATATATTTTCCTTATGTTGGACTTGGTTTTTGTTAACCCACTTTAACTGTCATTTTACATAGCTCAGGGCTTGCATCCTGTATTTGATGCACAGTATAATGCAATCAGAAGCTGCGTTTTGTTCCTCGTGTCTGAATGCGGTATTTCCCTAGCTCTAACTGTGTCACATCCTCTTCTGGGGGAATGTACCACCAGATGGTTTCTTTTCACTGAGCTGTCACAGGAGGGCAAGGAGCTCTGTCTGTCTGCGAGACAAATCAGCTGCATGCTATAATCTTGGGAGCATCAACAGAAAGAAATTTGTGAGCAGTGCAAAGAAAACAGGGACTATCTGGGACAAATTGTCCTGAGCTGAGCCACTTCTGAATTCTCTGTTCTCGTGAGGACAACCAGAAGGGAGCTACAGATGTTCCAGTGCTGTTCCCTGGTGCGTGGGAGCTGGGACCAGGATCCCAACTGGGCCAAACCCCTGTGCTAACATCTCGTTTCTGCCCCCCAGGACTAAGATTATCCAAGGACCAGAGTGTGCTGCCGTGGCTGCCTTTTGCCTTCTGTGTTCCTGTAGCTGGATGTCCCTTCTCCAGGCTGATACTGAGTGACTCCCTTCCCCTCAGCATTCATGAGAGGCAATCGAGCGTGAGCAGTGCCATTCCCAGCTGCAGTGTGGAGGGTAATGGGAGAGTGATGCATGCATTGCGGGGTCTCATTTCAGACACCACCATCGAGGCTGAGCTAAAACTTTAATTTATTTTAATGCAGTTGTTGGGGCATTTTAATTCCATCAAAGGAAATGACACAAGACAATCTACAGACATTCATTTGCTGCTTTTATAAATGAATTGAATTCAGCTGTGCTGGGTTTCTCCTTCTGGGGCTCCACTTTGAGATTTACTTCTTGCTCAGAGGCGTAAGCAGTTGAGGACTGTGAACCTTAAAAATTGCAATCTAAATTCAGTGTTTCATACATGAATATTTAAGCAAAGTGATATTCTCTATTCTTTCTGTAAGGCCCCATTTTTAATCATTGATGTCTGTTCTTTTGAGCAAATAAGCTCCGTGCATACATGACTTGTATGCGTTTTTTAAAAATGATAGCTCTCTGGGACAAGTTCCAGTATCACAATATGCTGTATATGAATATTTATGGATCCATCAACTTTGGTGAACATTGAATTTGCTGATAAACATTGCAGAGAACTTTTTTTTTTTTAAAGAGGCAGAAAAACAATTTCCAAATTGGGTCTAATTCAGTGCGTATTTTTGGCAAAAAATAATCTTTTGCTGTTGTTTTTAAGAAAAAAAAAAACAAGCTTTTTCACTGAAAGCTACTTTTGCATGCATAATTTATCTAAATTATAGAAAAAAGCAACTTTTTCATTGATACTGAATGACACAAAACACGAAAATTATGTCATTTGTGGCAAAGATTTAAAGTGAGCAAAAATGAAATTTGAGAGTTTGGGAATATAAGACTTACATTACCCATTACCTGCATGTTGGTTGTAGAATACTGATCAATGTGCTAGCATCAGCATTTTCAGGCTGCAATAAAAGTTTTCATCCAGATACATTGGTGTTTTGTTAGAATTGTGCAGAAAACCTATCAAGCTGCTGTGAGAACGTGCATACATCTTGCATCGTGTATAAGTTGCACTGAGTATTGTTGCCTCTTGCACTCAGATCACAAATGTAGCACTGTTGCTTCTTTTTCAGTTCCGTAAGTGTGGCAGTATTCTATTGGTTTTTTTTTTTCCTTACTTGATATATTTTTACATACATAGAAGGACATATATATGTGTCCTTCCTCCCCTCGGTATCTTCAATGAAACATCCTTGTATTAATATGGGCAAAATGAGTGTGAACAGAGCATGACCATAAATAACCCAAAAGGAAGGTCCTGTTGCAACACGTATGATGTTTTTAAATCAACTGTGTTAGAAAGATACTTGCTAGCTTGGTGTGTATTGGTGTTTGATTTAGGAATGAGAACAACATATCAGTATTTCCCATAGGATGGCAACACCATTTTCCAGTTATCTCTAGCTGCTTGTGGGAGATTAAAGCGATGCAGATGGTGGTATGAAGGAGAGAACAATGAAAGGACCAAGAAGAGCTTGAGGAAATGCAGAGGTGAGTGCTGGAAAATCAGGTAACTTCATGGGAATGTGGAAAGGAGCCTTGAGACAAAACTGTGGCTGCAGATTTTGACGGTAACCCCAGCTAGGGTATGGCTACTGCAGTGTAATAAAAACAGGCACACACTGAGACCTCTGCTTTGTCACTCCGTGATGGGGTTACAGCAATGCAGTGGTGGGAATCCTTTGCTGTGACTGAGCCAGCGGGAGCTGTAGTAGGGCTGTAGGTGTTGAGATCTGAGTAGAAAAGGATGATATTTTGACTGTGGGAATACATAGCCACATTTTCCAGTACAAGTATGCCAGAAAAATTTGGGTTTATTTATGTATGATTAACTGACTGTAGGAAAGTACCAGCAATGTTTCTCATCAGGCCTGTGCTCAAGCAACAGCCCTTTTGCCAAAAAGAAGCTAGCAATTTGTAAGATATGGTTTGTTGAAAAGTATACACAATTATGGAGTCATGTTAGTTAATAAAATGCTTCCTCATTTCTCTGTCTCTAAAAGCAGGAAACAAGCTCATGTTTGTGATCTCTCACAAAAGGACAGTACAGCTTTCACTTCTACTGCAGAAATGGAGTTACCCTTTGAGAAACTAAAAGCAGGGCAAAAATTTAAATCATTTCTCTGGGTTACTTCCTTCAAATAGCCAAGTCTAGGTCCTGAGTTTTCCCATAAATGCTGTTACCTTGATTTTTTCAAAAAGAGTTTGATGCACGCATCTTTGCTCTTGCAAAGTCTTCTCTTCATCTTCTGCAGGTAAATCTGTGAAGCAGCAGTAAGAGGTCTGTAGCAGTCTGTGCTAGCTAGCGAGCTAGCTGCTCGTGAGTAGTGGCTGACTGGAGATGATGGGAAAATGAGATCTTGGGTTTTTAAAACTGGTTTGTAAACAGAAATCCTTTTTGTTTCCCAAGCATTTTTTGCTTTCTTCTTTTTAGAGTAAGAATGATACTTGACATGGGTCCTTCTTACAACTTCTGTTTTCAAAGAAAAAAAAGGCTTTTCTTCCCGTTTTCTTTGAAGGGACTTGCATTACAGCTTGTGACTACCCACCATTTCCTTTGCCTTCTTTTACTGCAGTGATGATTCCTTTTGCTGAAGATGATTCAGACATGGGCAGTTCAGGCTGCAATCCTTTTCTTGATGATCCAACTGATTGGAGGGTCAGGTAAGGAAGATTCAAGCTGTGCTCATCACTGTTTGATACTCTGTATTGCTGACTCACGGGTACACTGAAATTTTACTGTTCACCAGTATGAAGAATGATATTACATCAGCTGACAAAATAATCCTGTGCTTTGCAGAATGGCATAGAATATTATTTCTGATAAGGATTCAACACAAATAATCTGAAGATTCATCTCTTGTTCAGATGAGAAAACACCAGCAGAGCTATGGTTTCTGGCAGAAAAAAAATAGATATATACCCATATCACATATGCTCCATCAACTACTATGCCAGATGATCTTGGATCTTATCCTTCTTATTGGTATATGTTCATAGAGTATCCTGAATTGGAAGGGACCTATAAGGATTATTGAGTCCAGCTCCTGTTCCCCTGCTATCCCAGGATTTTCTTACACTGTAATTTGTGCACCTTATCTCAGAGAAGGACCTGGTGGTCCTGGTGGATGAAGAAGTTAAAATGAGCCAGCAGTGTGCTCTTGCAGCTCAGAAAGCGAATGGAATCCTGGGCTCCATCAGAAGAGGGGTGGCCAGCAGGGACAGGGAGGTGATTATTCCTCTCTACTCTGCTCTTGTGAGGCCCCATCTGAAGTACTGCAGCCAGGTCTGGGGCCTCCAATAAAAAAAGATATGGAGCTGTTGGAGAGGGTCCAGATGACAGCCACAAAGATTATCAGAAGGTTGGAGCACCTCCCCTAAGAAGACAGGCTGAGGGGTGACCTCATTGCAGCCTATCAGTACCTAAAGGGAGCCTATAAATGAGGGGAGTCAATTCTTTACAAGGGTAAATAATGGCAGGACAAGGGAAACTGGTTTCAAGTTGAAGGAGGGAAGATTTAGGTTGGATATCAGGTGGATGTTCTTTAAAGAGAGAGTGGTGAGGTGCTGGAACAGGCTGCCCAGAAAGGTTGTGGATGCCCCGTCCCTGGAGGTGTTCAAGGTCAGGTTGGATGGGGCTCTGGGCAGCCTGGTCTAGTATTAAATGGGGAGGTTAGCAGCCCCACATGTGGCAAACTGGTTGGAACTTGATGGTCCTTGAGGTCACTTTCCACCTGAGCTGTTCTATGATTCTTTTTTTTTTTTCTTTTTCCTTAGAAAAGGTAGTTTCCTTTACTTTAAGGGTGAATCTTGGGCTCCCCATCAGTTTTTCAATGTCCATATTAAAGTGTTAGGAAACTATTGCCAAAAGAAATGGAGAACTGTAGCTCACCAACGCACGTTGCATACAGTGGAAAGGCACCATTTCCACTGCATTTTGAGATCTCAAAGACAGTGATAGAAGGAAGCAGGACCTGGAAACTGAATACTACTTATGAGTTTCTGTGAGAGCAATGCATTCCCAAGGCTGCCAGTACAGTAGGAAAGTAGAAATTTTTAAGTATGGTGAAGCCAAGAGCTGGATATTGATGAAAGCTTAAGGATCATATTTAATTTTTTCTTTCTCTGTTTCTTTTTTTCCCACGTAGCTTATAGAAGCGTGAATGTGCAGGCTGGTCATGAGGCTGTGTTGAATTGCCCATCAATTTCCGAGCTGTCTTTGCTAATGGTGACGTGGAAGATGAAATCCAGCACTTCTTGCTTTTTAGCTTATAGAAGGGATCTCAATGAGTCAAAAATGTTAAACTGCAGTGAGAGGATGATGTGGAAATACTCACCCAATCACGACCTAGCTCTACGTATTTACCCCGTGAACCTGAATGACGAGGGAAATTACACCTGTGAAATTGTCAGCAGTGAGGGGAATTTTCTTTCTCTCTTTTCTCTGACTGTCATAGGTAAGACGCACCTGCACTTTTTCATTGTTGTGTGGACATAAAACAGATTTGAGATGTTGTTAAAGGACCAAATTGATTCTTGATTGAAGATAAAGATGAGACTTGATTTAGTATGACTGGAGAGGGCAAGGAGCCATACGAAGACATAGGGCTGTTTTAATGAGAAATAATGAGCTGTTATTTGTGGTGTTTTTTTTTTTTGTTTCTGCCTCATGATCAGGGACTGTTTTCAGATGCTCCAGATGAACAGTCTGGATAGATTCTAATATTTGGATACTTTGGATGTAACATGGAATTTGAATGCTATGTGAATGTTCTCATGAACAGGAGTGCACACTGTTGGTTAAGTTAGTGCAAATAGATGATATTAAATAAACATTACTACTTAAAGCTGAACCAAATTTCACAGTGCACACATTGTGTACTTTGTTTGGATAAGGACCAAACAGGAAGGAAGCATGAGTTTCAGGACATTATCTGGAAATATTTAACTCTTCCAGAAGCATTGAAAGTTGTAGAACTGCATCACTAAAATAAAAATGATTTTAGGCTATTTTCAACCAAGGCAGGAAGAGAAAGTATTAGGAAACAAAAGCAATGCATCAGGCAATCTTTCTGAGACGCGTAGATCATCTCTAGCTTTCCTTAAATTGCAAGAAACATTTTATTTATGACAGGATTTTTTGTTCTGATCATCTTAGCTGATTTTTAGTAATACTCGGAAGGCTTATGGGAAAGTTATTCTGCAAATCAGTAATTTGCTACTGTTAATATTTGTCCCTTGATACTAGTTTTTTTTTTTTTTTTTCTTTCTTGCAGAATCTGTTTTGTCAAATGCAGAACATAAATTGTTAGGCTTTAGGCAGAATAGTATTTCTCCGTTTCCTCCTTTCTATTCATACTATGAATTTCTTAGCCTGTAGCTTCAGCAAGCTACAGTGTTTTGTTCAGTATATGCACTGCTATACTTTTAAATCTTCATTTAATCCAGCCCTATCCAACATCCCATTTTCTGTTACAGTTATGGTCATCCTTTGGAAAACATGAGGAAACCACAACTCTAAGTGCAGCTACCAATTTTTAGAGATATTTACCTTGGACTTTAATGTGTTTTTCCCTTAAAGATGGTTGCTGTTAATATTCTGAATTATTTTAAAATATCTTAAGTTGGCCACCCAAAAAATAAAAAATAGTACTGTTTTTGTTTCTCAGTTAGAGACCCTCTGGAATAATGACTGTAGTCTATTTACTTCTTCTGCAGTCCCTCCTACATTTTCTCTGACCTCTGACAAGAAAGGAGAGGCTGTTTGCCAAGCTATTGCTGGAAAACCAGCTGCCAAAATCTCCTGGATCCCTGCAAGTAATCACAGTGTTGAGAAAGATGTCCACCACCTCAATGGAACAGTGACCAAGGTCAGCTACATAAGTTGGGTCAACAGCACACATCCTAATGTCACCTGCCTGGTTACCCACCCAGCTGTGAACCAGTCTCTCTCCCTAGATCTGTCAGGTAAAGAACATCGATCTGTAATTGTTCTACATCATACTCTTGTGACTGTGGTTTTCTTTGCAGCTGTTTCCACTGAATGCCAGGGCTTGGCAGATTGTTTAGTGGTGAAATGCCAAAGTTCTTGTGCATGTTGATAGAAAAATTAGTAATTCAGAGTTAGTCAGCTGAAACCAAATGTTTCACAGCATGGTATGAGGAAGTTTCCAGTGGGAGCTTACTTGGATCTCCATTTTAAGTTACAAGAGCTCCTTATTCTCTTTCAGTGATCCTTGTTTAATTAGTGATGACAGAGAAGTTCTCTCTGCAGTAACTGTGATTTGTTTTTGATGTGAAACTTTAGACCCCTTGAGCTGAATTTTTGGACCCCTTGAGCTGAATTTTTGGACCCCTTGAGCTGATGAGCTGGATAAAGTGGAGAGTGGCTGTGTGTTACTCTTGAGCAAAGGCAGTAAAGGTTAAACTGGCTATGCTGGACTTGATATGTTTCTGCCATCAAAATTTGTAAGAAAATCTAAATAGTGCTTATATCACCAAAATATCTTAGCAGGGACATGAAGGATGGAAATTAACACAGACAGTCACTAATTACAAAATTCTGGAGGGACGTCTGGTCAGTTCTGCTGATGCACTTTTGGTATCATTTGTACAGAGGGAAGCTATGAAGGTGTATGGGTTGAAAATGGAAGTATATTTGTACACACTGGATGAGCGAAACAGTTCCTTTTGTGGATTGGCACCTAGACATCCCATCTGTCTCTCATTGAAGTTATGGGGGTAGAGCATGATTTTTCTTATTAAGTTAGATACCATCATCAAGTAGTCAGTGGGTACTGACATCTAGCTCTGTAACTGGTTTTCTTTTTCCCCCCAGACAATTCCTCCAGGCTCCAGTATCTCCAGATTGGACTGCCTGTAAGTCTTGCTGTTATCTGTGGTGTCGGAGTGACATTACGTTTGATTTTAAGGTGCAGGGGTAAGTCATTTGATGAAGCTTGAAATGTTTTACATTCCATTGCAGGCTAAGTGCAGGTACTAAGATATGTATCTTATGGCTGAGAGTGGGTTGGGGGGCAAGAATTGAGGAAATTGTTGATATATGGTGTACTGACCCTTTGGAAATAATAAATGGAGGGATGGAATTTTAAAACAAGCCTGGAGTTTTGTAAGAGTCATTGTTATTATACTATTGATGTATTACATATGAGGCAAAGAGTTATTCAGGGAGAGAAGAATACTTGCTATGAGTAGGGTGGGTTTTGAGGTTTTTTTTTTTTTGAATTATCTTGATCATTCTGAATTTACCAACATAAAATTCTACACATAAGACTGAGGAGTTTAAAGACTAGTTTAAGCATTAGTCCTAATGGCAGGTCACAAGCAATCCTCCCTCTATCCTGGCAATTCTAATTTTTCCCTTTAGCAAGTGTAAGAATAGGTCAAATGTATGTTTCCCTGTGGTACACTGATAGTTTCTCAGTCTGTGTAGATTTCATTGGCATTGTGTCAGCTCATGCTGAATAAGTTGATAACGAGAGCTCATGTGAAGCTTTCCCACTCTTGAGATGGCTGTGGGTTGAGGGTTGAAAGAAAGAAACTGAAAGCAAGGATGTTTTTGGGAGAGGAGGGTATGAAGCACTGGGAGGAGGCAACTCAGAAGGGAGTGAATGGTAAATAGAGGGAATCTGTAGAGCACCTGAGTGCCCTATTCCTCTCCATTGCAATAAATGTTCTGCCTTTACTGCTTTCCTAGATTTCTTCCTTATGCTCAGTGTTGCTCAGATTTCCCCCCCTCTCCCCAACATAGAGAATATTAGATTGCAGATGTAATTAGTGAATCAGGTTTAAACAGATGAAGTGATGGTGTTGGCAAGAGAGAGTACGAGTGGAGACAGAGCAGAAAAGGCAGGAGAAGAAAACAGAAGGGCAGCTGCTGTCAGCAGTGGAGGCACTGACAGGTGTTTACAGCACTGTGGCAGAAGCATGTCACTTACACAGTGAAGAGCTCCTTTGGGGCAGGCAAGGAGAGGAGAAAATGCACTCAGGTGGGTTCTTGGCCCAGTATTTCCCTTCAGAAAAGTACACCTAACTGAGTCAATTCAACCATGTTTCCCAGGGAAACCAAATGTTTCAGCAAAGGGGAAAATAAAACGATTCACATTCAGGGGCAGAGCATAAAAGGTGAGAACCTAACCAGTGAAAGCATTTAAAAAAAAAGCTGCTGAGGGTAGCTAGAGAAGAACTCTGGATATAGCAGCTGTGTACCTTGTTCCAAGAAACCATTTTGATTTCCTGGTATACTTCTTCCAGCTTCCCGGCTACAGAAGAAGGCACATCAGTCACCAGTACAGACTGTGGTGAACTTTGTTTTTTTTTGCTTTTTTATTTTATTTATATTTTTTTTTTTTTTGGGGGGGGAGGGGGGGGGGGGGAGGAGGGGAGTGTATGTTTTGTTGTTGTTGTGTGTGTGTCTTTTTCGTCACCAAAACATGTAATTCCATGACAACATGCGGCTGCTCTGACAAAAATCCAATATATCTCCACATGTGCTGATTGGCTGGAATGAGGAGCAGTGTGTCTGGAAGGGTGTCTATTATTTGGGTGGTCATAACTTCATTACTCAGTGTATCTGAGTAATTGCTTATGCACTAGATAGAGAACAGAGTAAAGCATTTTCTGCTTAGGGATACAATAAATCACATTTGCAATGTTCAAGCTGAATTTTAGATCTCTCCAGCATTAAATTGTTCACAACACTGCTTCAAACTCTAATCTTAGCACCAATCTTTTGCTTAAGAGTACATATTGCCCTTGATGACAGAAAACTGTGTGATAAAGATGTGATGGAAACAGACAGGTATTTTACAATGAGGGAAAAGGGTGCAGTTCCTTATGCCCTATTAGCAACACAAACAGCAATGAAATATTTATATTTCAAGTTGTAGTTCAGATACACAGGAGCTAAGAAACAGCAGTGTTAAATTTGCCACTGCAAGTTTTACTTCCTCTCTAATTATAGGGTGTTCTGATATGTATTTGACAGCATGATAGCACGCTACTCTCTCCTCAGGGCTCCTGCTTCACCTAATACACCCTAAAAGAACACTTATTTCATATTTAGTTTTCTGCTCAAAGTGAAATTAATAGCTGTGTGCTTTGTTTGTTGTAAACTAGTCAAATGGTGCTCTGAAGTCAGAATGATTAATTTCCTGATACGTTCTTATACGCTATTCTGCACAATTTGATGGGAGTGGGAGCTGCTGAGATCAAAGTCATAACTTCCAGCAAGTTTAAGTGCCTACACTGGAATGCCTGTGGTGGCCTGCATGTTTTTTCTGTCAGAGAAGTTAACATTGATCATTATGACCTATTTTGTTGAAAATACTGACATTTCAATGTTTGTTTTCAATCTCATTAAGAAAAAGAGATTCAAAAGGTTGTCTTGTTCAGACTTTTTCTCTCCACGAACTCAGCTTTCAACCTATATGCCCTGCCCCTTTGCCTTTGGAGCTTAGAGAAATACCTTCACAGATCCTTTGCAAAATTAATGTTGACTGCCAGATTTCTTCTGATCCTGTTTTTCTTGGTTTTCTTTTGTTTTGCTTTTGGCCTCTATAGAGGTTCCAAAAAATTCTTCAACATAATTCAGTGGTCTGTGTTTTTTTCTTATTTTGTAGACTGAAAACTTCGGATTCACATCTTTACAGCTATACACACCTGTAATGGGCCCTTACGTCTCACCAGAGGAAATCTATCAGAATTATAAACCACAAACTACACTTATGAGCTAATTAAGCATGTAGGCACCAGCAGTCTATACAAGCTCAACTATTAATTATACTCTGTTACTTGAGCCTGTCCTTGATCTAGCAAATCTCTTATGCACAGCAGGACAGCAGAATACTCTAAACTGACCAAGAAAAGCCTTTCTCCTTCCTGACATGAAGGGAGCCAGCGGAGCAGCCTGTTTAAGTCACTGATTCCTCTCTGTAAATATCAGTACAGTTGTTAAAACATTTGAAACATGTAAAGACTGAGGAGGAGAAATACACATTTGATTTTGATTAGAGAATAGGTTCTGAGGCATGTGCCATTTCCCCTCACATCTGTAATTGATATATTTATGTGACAGAGGAAAAGGCTTGCTGAAAATATATCACTTCTTTGTAGACCCCCTTAGCATCTAGATTCTCTTTCCATTCTCAAGATGGAAACCACGAAGTGCCATAAGGAGCCCTAAAAAAAAAAAAAAAAAGACAAGATGATCTATCTGAAAGAAATACAGGAATAAGAGTTTTGTTCTAGGTAGATAGTTACATGTGGCAGATGAAAATCTGGTATTTTTCAACCTTTTTTTTTTTTTTATAAAAAAAAAGTGTTTATTTTCAATTATACTTTCTATTGATAATGGTAGAATAAAGCCAATCTGAATTTATACTTAACGTGGAAATGAGAAATAGCAATGGGAAATTTTCTAAAATTCATTTTGAAATAAATATGTAAATATGCAAATATTTATCTCAAATTATTTTGGGGCCCATTTTCTTAGAAGCCAAGATTACAGCCTGGTTTGTAAAAAAAAAATAAAAATAAAAAAAAAATGCAGGTGATCTCCTTGCTTGAAAACAGTCTAACCAAGTTATTTATTTCTTCTCATCTCCCTGCCTCAAGTAGAAGAAAAATACTGATTGATTGATAATTTCCATGTTCATATACTGGGCTTGTGAAACCTTTTTGGAACCCTAATGCAGCACCAAAGTCTACTGAAGTGTGTGCTTTGAATGGTCTTTGTCTTCTTGTTGTTGGAGGAGTTCTCAGGTATGAGGATCCTTCTGTGCCTTTTAATTGCACTTCCTTTTACTTCTAAATAAGCATGGGTTGGCACATACTGATGCTATTCCAGTTTTTCCTATCAGTCACAACACAAAGGCATGAAGAACAACTCCTTGGCTCATGGAAAGTGCTTACTTTCTTAATGATTTCCCATCAACAGAACATTTCATTACATGCAAATATTATGAAAGACCTTATTAGACAGACAAGTGAGGGAGAAAATGCAATGTTTATGCAGAAATAGTAACTTGAAATGTCTTTTGTGTGTGCATGTGAACTCAAAATTCCAGTCTTTTTCTTCTATTACAATACTGCTTACATATCATTTCCTTCTTTAGGTAAAAGAATGTGAATTGCTGATACACACATGGAAATCCTATCTCATAGTGATTGTAGAGTGCATCTCAAACTAATGGATTTTTTTTCCTTTCTGTATTTTAATCCCCTCTCCTGTTCTGATGTAAGGCAGAAAACAATAATAACAGCTGGTAGTCATTACTGGCCGTCTATGACCAGCTTCAGCAGTTTGTTGGTGCTATTGATATCATTGTTTTAATTTTGATATAGGAAACAGGTTGGGGTAGGGCACAGAAGAGGGAAGAAGAAAACGTAAAGATTATGCTACGGCATGGAAAAAATGATTTTCTAAATGCATAACATTCTTAGTTCTTAGCTACAGCTGTCATCGTCCCTCTAGCACATTCTCAGAAAATCACATAATTCAAATATGGCTTGCCAAATAAGCAAAATGCGACTGGAGTTCCTCTTTCTCTCTCTCTTATTACACAAAGGATACATGTGGAAAATAACAGGACCGTAATGAGTATGTTCTTCAAAGACTTCTTTATGTCTTAGAAGAAACAATACAGACTGAATCTTTTGGTAACCTGCTACCTTGGATTTTTCATCCAGAAAACAAAGGAGCCATGACCATGTGTAGGCACTGGTGCCAGCTAACCTGTGTATTTTCTTCAGATAACAAGGAGTATGATGTCATACATCTGTACAATTATTTGCAAATGCATGAGTCTCATTTGACTTACTTGATATTTAAAGAAAGTAAACTGGCATAGAATTTCTACTACTATTGCTTGCAATAACAGCTTGCAGCTAAAAAAACGTCGTGTGTAAGTGCAAATTGTGAATTAGCATATCTTCCAAAAAAAAAAAAAAAAAGAAAGAAAAAAAGAAGAAGCAAAAAGCAATCGCTTAGACTGCATCTAGTAGCTACAATGACAAGACACTAGTCCCATCACTGGGAGCTCACAAGCTCACACTCAGCAAACGTTTTATTTAGAGGCATTATCAGATAGACAGTGCAAACAATGGAGAACTTAGACCTAGTGGAATGTGACTGAATTTGCTCTGAGCCAATGAGAAGGAGAAGAAATGAGAAATGCTGTTGACAGTTGTAGTCAAGTTGGCAATAGTCAAATTATTTTGTCTTACATGGAGGGGAACGCGCAGACATGCGTGTGTATTCACACCAGGGAATTGGATCACAGGTGATGTGCCAAGCATGAAACTGAATATGACATTGACTTCATCCAGATGGAGCAGCAGTGATTATTATATGACAAGGAACAATCATGTTGGAAATGTGCTGTGCAGAAATTAAAGTAATAGTGATTTAAAGGCAGTGGAGGAGTGGGTTCACACTAAGAAATTATATATAAAAAAAACCAAACAGTGATAATATGAATAAAGTAGATTAGTCACGACCAAAATTGTTTTAGGAAAGGATGCTAAAAGAGGTCCTCCTGGGATAGACTGGAAAGTTGAATTTGGAAATGAACAAATAATTCTTTAATGTTACTAAAGAGAGAAATACTCCTGAGATTTGTGTCACAGGAAATTTTAACTTCTCAGTCACTGAGACTAAAAACCATTAGCAAAAATAGACCATGTCACTGGTATGAAAATTTAAAGGTATATTTAACTGAGCAGTCAGCAAACCAACTGAGAGTGCTGCTACTCAGAAGTTTGTCTCTGTGACTAACACCAACAGTATAGATAAGGTGGTTGTAGGAAATACCCAAGGTGATCACATGAGATTGATTTAATTTATGTGAGTTGGAATGCAGGTCTGTGACTTATTCTTACTTCAAATAGGGAGAACCATACATGATGAGGGAACTAAATGGTGAAGTCACTAGGAGTAAGACTTCATTTTAACTGAAGCCTGGAATTTTTTTGGTATTAAATGTGTAGACCTGCTGGAGACTTTTCTTTGCAAAAGAAGTGATATGCCCAGCCAGCTCTGGAAATGAAAGCAAATTCTCTTGAAATAGATGCTAGGAATGCACAGAGACTCCCCAAGGATAAAGAAAAATATTAAGCTGACAAAGAGATTGTCTTAGACATCAAGAAGCTCAGGGATAAAATGGAAATTGTCAGCAGGCTGCTCTTACAAAATACCTTCAAATGCTGAGCAGAAAGCCCTCCTGAGGTGCGCAAGTAAAGCTGTACATGGACTGTCCCTCATGGGGTGGGAACAGACCTCAACTCTGAATCCCTCATCACATTCCTATAGTTTAGGAGACTCAGGGGACACTGTGGTGTTTGTATTTTGGGTCACACACCATCACTAGCTAGTAAGTAGCAAAACTGTATGTGGAGGGCAAGAACCATTCTAGATAAGTGTTTGGATATTTTTCTTTAACAATGAGAACATTTTGGTTCAAATTTCTTTTGAACACCTGGTGAGGTTGGCCAGGCTGGGCCAACTTTTCAGCTCGAGCATCATTTTGGCCTGAAGACAGCTGCCCAGGGCAGGAAGGGTCAGCCAGAGCAGTGAAAAGCTTAGAAAATGACACCAACAAAGTCCTGCAATGGCAAGTGTTAGGAAACTAACTATCAGCTCAGCCTCATTGCTAGCTTGTGTAATGATTTCACATCAGAGCATTCAGCAGGTTCTCAAAGCTCTCTTTTGAGGCAAGGGGAACAAACAAGTAGATTTTCACTGAATTTCTGTCCCCTCCTTACTAATGAGGATAAACATACCAAAGGATCCCACCCGTCTCAGGAGGATGTGCCCCTCCTTAAATCCTGTGGCTACTTTATCTAGATCAAACAACACTGGCTCCGAAGGTGTGACAGCAGTTGGCCAGCATGCAGTTGCTCTTGCTTGACCCATATCTGGAGGATCAACTCTATTCCTCAAGATATCAAGGGATAGCTTGGGGAGCTATCTCAGCCTAATTTTGAATGGACAGAGTGGAGATTTGATTCTGGGCTTCTACAGTTGCGCTCATCATTTTTCCTACTGGCTTCATACAAAGTTCCTTTCTCTCAGTCATTTTTCACTTTCCAGTGTCTCTGACAACACAAGCTGACTACAGTATTGCTGATTCTCACTTATCATTCGTAAAGCATTTGATACTTTTGTTTAGTGTTCTCTTTTTCCTTAAAACCCCAGCTGTCTGAGACCTAGTTTCTGTATTTGGTCTCCTTTGTGACTATAGAGGAAATGTGATGTCTCTTGTCCTAAAGAAATACTTGAAAACTCAGTGGATGTGGACAGCACAGTAATCAGTGGTAAATTCAAATAAATAATTTACTGTTTTCTGAAGCCTTAGTCACAGTTTTGAACAATAAGGTTTAAAATGATGACTAAAATAATAAATATTTTTGTATTCTTACAGAAAATCTTTACTCTAGACCCCATTTTTATGTTGAAGGAGCATCCCTGCTTGTTTTCTGATTTCAGCATTTTACACATTTTTGGAAATATTGTAGTGAAACCTAAAGAAGTAATAAAATGATGTCAAAGTAAATGAGGATTTTTGTGTTTAATTCTTTGCTGTTTTATGGTCTCAGGCTAGAAATTTGTCTCTCTTTCTCTCTGCTTTAATTCTCTTTCTCTGGGGATGATATAACTTTTCTTTTCCTGGAAATGCATTGTTTTAATCACTGTAAAAGATAACAAAGAGGCAAGATACTAGGCTAGTGGCATTGTGGTAAGCATCACATCTCAAAAGAAATAGCAAAAAAACTACCTCTAAACTCTGGATGTTTCAGACTGGATCATTCTAAATAATTCTACCAAGTTACGGTGTCCTCTTTGAGCTTGTGAGGTAAGGATACCAATAACATTAGTTATAGTTAACTAATAACATTAGTTAATGGTTGGTTAATGATCTGAGCCTTGCTGCTGCCTCAAGCCTTGTTTTTACTAATATAAAGATATTTTCAGCTCTAATATTGAGAAAGGCTTCAGAAAAGCTACGCATCTGTGAAATGAGTGGGATGAGTTTGCTTTAGTCTGTCTAAATAGGAAATATAGTACTGAATAAACTGCTTCTATGCTGCTTGAGTTTTGTGGCTAGATTACTATGTCCTGGGCATTGTGATACATTTATCTAACTTAGAGAACAAGATGAGAAGATCAGCAAGGAAATTGCACACTGCATTGATTCTCCACAGTC